ATAGCAGAATCTGATGTCAAATATTTATAGTGAACATTTCTTTGTATTTCTGCTCATTAAAGTGGGCTGTCATAAAAAAACAAGTATGGCCTCTATCATAAAATTAGGTCTTGTTTTATGAATATTTAACTTCCTTTGAACTTTTGGTAAGGAAATAATGACCTTGAAAACTCTTGGTAGCAATAAAACAATGTAACACAAAGGCCACTGCCTCTGTCATTAATCATGCCAGGGGACTGCCTGGAGCTACCCTTGGCTTTTCAGAAGGAAAAAAAATAGAAGACAGAGAAATGTGAAAGTATTCCTTATAGGCTGCTTGGTCATAAAAAAACATGGGAACGGTGGAAACCTTTCCAGCACATAACATTTGTTGTAATCTTATTTTCAATATGCAGTTGACATAGTTTTTCTTTGAGTGTCTGTCAGATTGAAATCAATATACTAAGTCAGGCAATGGGAATTTAATAACCCAACTGCTAAACATTGCTTCAGTATATTACCTTTTTATGGAGTTATAATTCATGCAAAATCACAGTAGTACTGTCCTAAATAAGTGAACAAATATCCCTTGTGTTTTAGGTTCATAAAACTATTTTTAGAAGTTTCAGGAAAGCATTCAAAACTTAGAGAAATATCAATAAAATAAAGGAAAAAATTAGCCACCTGATAAATCTTCCTTTCTAGATCAGAATAAAGACAGAATCTGCCACACAATCCAAAATGTTTAGAATAAAACAAAATAAAAGGAGAAATCATTGGTTTTAAGTTTTAGATTGGAGTAAAATACAGTATAGAGAATCCCAATCCCCAGCCTTCAGTAAGCATGTATATTCAAAATTAAAGATGCAATGAGACTTTTTTCAGTTCTTTAAAGAGAATTATGGATCAAGTTATGTTCTCATTCACAATATTGTATTTAAATTCTTTATGGTACCCATGGGGGAGTATGCATCTAGTGTCTTCCTTCATCACATCTTTACCTCATTTTTGATGCAAGCTATCTCACAGAACCTTGGACACCCTGATTTAGGAATGAGAATGGACAATGATCATCAGAGATCTTTCTGTCTTGATTTCTGAATGTGCTTATCAATGCAGCTGTCCTTTTACAATGGCAAAATTTCATGGCCAACACTTTACCAAATGTACAGTTCTCTAAAACTGCTTCTTGTGAATCACATTTCACAAGCTTTTCATATTAGAATTATTAAATTAAGATACTTTGCGATTTTTAATTTTCTCATATCTTCAAAACAGCAAGTCTTCTGTGAAATTTCAGCTTTTGCCCTTAGTTGGATACCACCATTAGTGTCTGGATCTGCTCCTGATCTATGTCAAATATGACATAGTAGTAGGTTAGAAACCTGTGTACTCTGAAACACGTAGGTTCAACTGATATGAATCGACATTGTCCCATTGCTAGAAATGAGACACACACATGCTATTTAAATAGTTGAAATGTGCTTAGCTCAAGTGAAAAAATAAAATTTTAATTTAAAATGAAATTTAATAAAATAATGCCCAATTTACTAGTGAAACTTAGCAAAGCAAATATGACAGGTTTTAATTATAGCATAGAAGCTTAGAGATCATGTCTCCTTTCTTTAGAAGAGACAGCTGCTCAGCCAGTATGTATTCTGATCATCTGGTTCTTACAACCTTTCAACCCTCTCTTCCAAGATGTTTCTTGAAGATTGGGGTAGGGGTTGAGCTATTGATATAATAACTGGGTCAGGCACTCCATGGTCATTTAATCTCTGTGTTTTTACCTGTTGTAGTTTTCTGTAGTGATCTCTATCTGCTGAAAAAAGAAACTTCTTTGATGACAATAAGAGCTACATTTGTAAATGAACATAAGGATACATATTTGATGGGCTGGGCAGTGATGATACATACCTTAAAATTAGTATTCAGGAGGCAGAGGCAGTGGATCTCTGAGTTCAAAGCCAGGCTGGTCTACAGAGCAAGTTCCAGGACAGTCAGGGCTACGCAGAGCCAGAGGAAACCCTGTTTTGAGAAACAAACAAACAAACAAACAAACAAACAAAGCAAGCAAAAGACTACAATGATGAATTATACTCCATTGTTTCAATACAAACAAAGAGCAAATCAACTGCAATTCAGTAACATGTATCTTAAAGGAAACTGCATATGTGTATGTGTCTGTTAGAGAGAGACAAAGAAAAGGGGAGGAGAGAGAGCCAAACAGAGAGACAGAGTAAATTCTTATCATGCACTGCATATCCCTTCTATATTTCAGTACATATGAATTTCTTTGAATTAAAAGGAAAATAATTTTCTTCCTCATCATATAATGTAAAATATTATAGAATATGCTGTAATAGAAACTCTAAGGTAAATATTATATGATTTTGTAATAAATACATACACATATGTGTATAATTTAATTATTTAATATTTAGCATAATTTTCCACATTCTTAAGACATCAAGACCTTTACATATGATGTTTGTATTTGTCTTTCAGAATAATAAATCTGTATTTGATATTTTAAAATCATATAAACTAAGGAGAATAGAAATAACTACATTGTTGCAAGTGACTTAGATGTAAGATTTTATGTGTTAAGTAAAACTGTAAGCCTTCAAGCATAATCAAAAAATATATATTATCTCTAAGGTGGACAAAATATTTCCTGGTACTGAACTATAAAAGGAACTCTTATAAATTTAGACTTCTCAAACCAGCAGTTCAATGAAAACTTCTAATATATGATGTTCCTGAGAACACACCTGGACCATTACTGGAATGGAAGCATTTTATAATCTATTAATGGCTAAAATACCAGTAAAATCATGGTTCTGTGTTTAAAATATAAACATGAAAATATCATGTCTTTTACATAAGTTTAGCAGTGGGATCTCCTAAATCCATGGGGAAAAAATGGTATAAACTAATGGTAACACTATCAAAGCAAGGAATATAGCTGATTGAAAACACAGTTGAGTGCTCCCAGCAGATGAAGGTGTGAATTTCTCCATACATCATCTTAATGGCAATATTTTCCACAAAGCGACATGGCACAGTCCTTTCATATTTCATGAGTTCTATTTGCCTTACTTCAAAATACCAAATGTGCTGGTGAACAGTGCCTTAATATTCATGGGATTTTCAGATGGCTTTGACAGTTGTCAACTAGAGGAATGGCTTCATCAAGAAGGGATCTGACTTATGATCTCCGACACACATAAAATCATGTAGTCATTCACATACGCATTCTCTCTAAAAGGTATTCTTTGCATAGTTATCTTTTATGGAAATTATATGGATGTAAATCCTTTATGCAACAGACATTTCAAACACTACTTGGCTTTAAATGGAATATTCTGGGAAATTTTGTTATTCCCAGACATTTAAAAGTTGTAACACTTTTACAAATGAAGTTTGAAAGACACAGTCCAATAAATATCCTGGAAGTTCCTAAGAATGGACACCATCGAAGCACAAGTCACACATACAAGGCAGCAATTTTTATCTTTATCTTTTTTTATTTTTTATATTTTTGTTTTTCAAGACAGGCTTTCTCTCTGTAGCTTTGGGAGCCTATCCTGGCACTTGCTCTGGAGACCAGGCTGGCCTCTAACTCACAGAGATCCTCCTGCCTATGCCTCCCGGGTGCTGGAATTAAAGGCGAGCACCACCACCACCCAGCTTTATCTTTATTCTTATGTAATTTAAACACATACTTAATTATTTAGTTTAGTACAAAATCCTAAAGCAGGTCTGTTCATCTCTGTTTATAGTCTGTTTCTTAGACATCTTCTTGAACTATAAAACAAACTGAAATTTCCACATTCAGGTCATTGCTATCAATTTTAAAAGTTTGTCTTTTTTTTGTTCACACAGTGACAGTAATTAATTAAACATTGAATAAATTTTGTTCATGCACATATACTTTATAGGTGTTAATTCATTGTATCAGTCTGAAATTTTATAGGTACATAGAATCAGTGCTATAATTATCATGGGGTTTAACTAGACCAACCAGAATAGACACATATGCATGCTCAGTACATTCTCCAGGCACCCCAATCCTCCTATGCCTTCAATCTCTATCTCTCCATCTACCCAAGACAAAGAAGAATAACTCTTAAGAAACTTACTTATTGAAGAACAGAGCTAAAGAACTGGGTTGAGGGCACAGGATAGTTTGCAATCCCTGCACTTGGGATGCTGAGACAGGAGAATCAAGAGGATAATAAGGCCAGCCTTAACTACATAACTAATTCGAGGCTAATCTGAGCTAAATGAGATACTATCTTAAAGAACCATTAAAAAATAATAAGGCTACTTCGTCATTTTCTTTTGAAACTAGGAAGAAAAGAGAAGTAAAAATCTAAGTATGCCTTTAAGACTAGCAGAGTCCATTTTTAAAATTGAGACAGGAGGGATACCGTCACTGCCCCTCAGAAGTATCAGAGTTGTCTTTAAGACCATGTTGAACTTTCTGCCTATTTTTGTGTGTTTTTCCGATTTTGGTTTTTATTTTGTCTTTTTGTAGTTTGATACACAGAAAGGAGTGGGGAGAAAAGGCATTCATCCATCTCTTGCCTCCTTTAGTATGGACTAGAATAGTGGGATTTTAGCAATACTGATCAAAATTGTTGTACCATATCCAAGCCTATCCTTGGAACTCTGGGTCTGTGCTTAAAGCTTCAAGCGGATGCTGTAAATTATTGACTGCCAGAGTTTTTTTCTCTTTACTTAAAGGGGAAGTATACGACATACTGCCCTCAACCCCTACCACCTTTAACACATACATGTAACTGACTAAGACACAGCTAGAGAGAACAGGTATGCTTTGGCACTGAGACACTTTCAAAGGCCAACGGCATGAACAACTTCAGAAGCCACAGTCTGTGGATGTATTCTTACCAACATTTGTCAAGTGTGTTATTCAGTATCTCTTTACAACCCGGAACTTCACAATCTGGAACCGTCAGTTGCTCAGTTTAATGTCTGTCACGCCCGGAACGGTAATGGTGACCCAAACGACCATCAAGACCTCGGCATCACCTGGCCTGGAGTCTTTGACTGTTGTGGGCTCCAGTCGGGCCCTGATCCGGCCACTGGGCCTTCTCCGTCTGTGCCAACTGTTATCTACCTGCTTGGCTTTCTCACTAGTGGCCCACGGACGTAACTGGATGGGCCCCATGGGTAACTGGTGCATGTTCTCCTGGTGCTTCTGCTTCTCCATGACCCTGTTGATCCTCATCATAGAACTGAGTGGTTTCCTGAGCCGTGTCCCCCTGTCTTGGCTGGATTTCTCCATCACCTGCGCCAACTATGCTGTCTTCTTCTGTCTGACGTCTTCCATCATCTACCCTGTCACCTATGTGCAGTTTTTGGCTTATGGATCTGACAGAAATCGTGCTATCGTGGCCACAGTCTTCTCCTGCATCGCCTGTGTGGCCTATGCAACGGAAGTGACCTGGGCTCAAGCAAGGCCTGGTGGGATAGCTGGCTACATGGCCACTGTGCCCGGGCGGCTCAAGGTCGTTGAGACCTTTGTAGCATGTGTCATCTTTCTCTTCATCAACAACCCACGCCTGTACAAGCTTGAACCTGCCCTGGAGTGGTGTGTGGCTGTGTACGCCATATGCTTCATCCTAACCATGGTGGCCATCATACTGAAACTGGGGAATTGGACCAACATCATCCCCATTCCCTTCCCCACCTTCTTGAAAAGCTTGGCCTTCGTTTCTGTCCTCATGTACACTACCGCCATTGTCATCTGGCCCCTCTACCAGTTCAATGAGGTGTTTCATGGCCAGCCCCACAGAGCAACGGATGCGAACTGTCAGTACAAACATCCCCACTCAGTGTGTGCCTGGGATCGCCGACTGGCAGTGGCGGTCTTGACTGGCTTCAACCTGCTAGCATATCTGGCTGATTTTATGTACTCTGGTACCAACGTGTAAGATTCACAAGGGCATCCCCTAGCATGACCCTGATGCAACATTTTCATTCTTCTTGCCCTGTTTTCTCCTGTCCCCTTTGCTTTAAACCTTCTTCCTGCTTATGTGTTCTCTTTCTGGTTTATTTTTCTTCCATTTTCTTTTCTTTTCTGTTTTTTTTTTTTTTTTTTTTTTTTTTTCACATCCGGGTTTGCCCCTGAGCTTTGTCTCCATAGCCCTCAGGTTTAACACTTGTTTGTCCAATCTGTTTTTGTATTAGTTTTCTCTTTCTCATCTTTTTATTGCCTGGTCACATCTTTCTTTCCTGGGAGAGCCTTTGGACTGACTTCTTGCTGTGTCTATCTACTACTTCTACCACTGAAGGAGTTGGCTGCACATATCACAGACTCGTCTGCAGCTCTTCATATCATGGGCCTAAGAGACCTCTTGCCAAGCCATGAGAAAATGTTCAGGTTTCTTCTTCATGCACTTTCTTTACTGTATATGTGTCATGTTCCCTAAGTTATTCCTTAATTTCTATTTCTAATCCTAAACATTATCACATGTCAGTCCCTGTCTCTCTATCTGGAATTCCTCTTTGCTTGATTAATTACTATGGTATGGGTTTGTTCTCTGATTTGATATCCCAAGTCTTACTGAACCCACGTACATAATACCAAACAATATTTCATTTCATATGCTCAACTGGACACCATTATCTACTACATAGAAAGATCTTACTTAGTAAACACTTGTCAAGGTACTTACTTTAAAAGTCCAACATATGTCATCTACACAATTTATGTAAACACATGGGTAATAACAGCTTCCAATAAAAGCCTGCATTATTTGACTTTAGGTAAGAAATTGAATGTTTTGTTATGTCGCTGAATAAACAGTTTGATATTATATAAACACAGCAATCTATCTATATCTATATATAGATAGATAGTAGTGGTTCTCAGCTTGTGGGTCATGACCCCTTTGGGAATTTGAGTGACTCTTTCAAAGGGCTGGCCTAAGATCATCTGAAAACATACATTTACATTATGATTCATAACAGTAACAAATTACAGTTTTGAGAGTCCAATGAAAATAATCTTATGGCTGGGGGTCATCACAATGTGAAGAGCTGTATTAAAGGGTCTCAGCATTAGGAAGATTGAGAACCACTTTCACAAGTAATAACTCTAGTTTTTTCCATTGCACTGTTTTTCTACCTATATTAATATTTCCACTGATTTATGTGCTTCATTTTGTATAACTAATGAAACGGCAACTTTAATGCTACATTTTTTAAAAGATTTTATATGCAATAAACAGTTAAGATTTTTTTCACATCTAATATTTTCTCACTTAACTTACACAACAAGACTAAGGTGATTATCATGCTATATTTTACAACAAGATTATATTGGCAAACACAAAGGATTTTCTTAAATGTAGGAAGAGCATTTTCATAATTTTCACATAGAAATTAATCAGTATTGATTTTAACTGCCAACTGATCCTTGTTTCCCAAAGATAGCACAAACAGTTTGTCACAGAACTGATAATATTTTCTCAACTTTCAAGATGGGGGCAAAAATTCATAGTATTTAGCTGTTAATTAATCTTAATTAAGGAGAGCAAATTAAACTCTATATCAAAAAACTTTATATCAAAAAACTTTAAAGCAGCTCTGGGAAATATTTAAAAATACCTATGCATAACCATGAACTTTCTGGCAAGGTTACCATAGATCTATCTCCAAAAAAAGTAGAGAAGTTTTGTGGGTTACTTAAAACTGTTTTCACTAAAAATGACAGAATATTATCTAATTTACATTTTAGTACTTTTTGGCCTCAGTTTTGTATCCAAGAAAGGGAAAGACAATTACTGAATATGTATCAGGGAATCTTACAAATATAGGGACACAAATAATATTTATTGATGTTTAGGAGACAAATAGTGTATAAAACCAAGTTGTACATTTGTGTATTTTCCTAGAAACATTGGTTATATTAACAGCTGCACAGTGAGATAGCAACTATCCCCAACATATCTTCTCCAATAGCATCAAGCAGGTTGGGGCTGTAGGAACAACATGATCCTGCCATGGACAGTATTTCACAGTGCAGCTGAGAAAAGTACCTCAAGAGAAAAGCCAGAGTGGGAAGGTGTAATATCTCCTGGAGACTCACAGAAAAAAGTAAGAGAGATAAATATTAGTAGCTAAATCACTCAGTTATTAACAGTTTTAACATGTTTTATTTCAGAGTAATCTCACTGTGAAGTTATTTTATGTCTATTTAGTTGCTATGAAAAAGTCACCACCAGAGCTACAAAATAAATCTTACTTTAGTTTTTAAATGATAAAAATATGGTCATACCACAGACATTTGTTTAAGTCAAAGAAAGTATCAGTCTTTTGATAAAATTTGATTATGAAATAGTGATTTATGAAATAATGAGCCACTTTCGGGGAAAAACATGCAGACCTATCATCATGATTGCTGGAATTTGTGGTTCTTTTAGAGCAGTGAACTATGGGTTTAGGATTAAATGGGAGGCAGGGAGTTGGGTAACCAGAGGGATCTCATTCACTGAGTCTTGCCTAGGAAAGACATACTTTTATCACAATGTCCACCATTAATGCTTTAGCAGGAAAATACCTTGAAAATTTATTTCAAAGGCATCTCTCTAGAAAGATTTTTTTCCCCCAAATATCCTCATCATCTTATACAGAGTCTTCAACATAAGAACAATGCTACATTGGAAAACTCTGGGGCAGAGAAACTGAGTGGTTTGCCAATGACAAGATTCTATCGTGAAAGTTGAAAAGAGTCCGATTTGCAGCTACTTTAGTCATGATTGTTTCACATGCAGTGCTTCTTTCCTCCAGTGTTAATCAGAATAAGAAAGCTGTCAAGGATTCCTTGTGTTGATGCTCAAGTATCATTTGGCTGAATTGCCTGATAGTATTACATACCATACTCCTCATTCCACTCCAGTTATTTATAAAAATAATTCATAAAATCAGAAGTGTATAGTATAGTGCTTTTAAAAGTTCTTAGGAATTCAAGGAAAATTGCTGTAAATATTTTATGTTTTGAATTGTTAATCAGCTCAAGTTATTAATCTTACAGAACCCCAGTAAATAAAAATATTAAGAGGGATAATGCTTTCCAATTTTTGGACACTTTAACCCCATCCCCAATAATGAGCAGAATCTTGCTTCACCTTAGGCTTTAAAGATGACAACTTCACTACATGTGTGTAAAATCAGTGAGTTACTTTATACATAGAGAGGATAACTTTTAAAGGGGTGTATTAGCTGGACTGAAGCAGAATAAAGTCATTATTTAAGTATATAGTGTAATTTATTTCACAAGTTAAGAGAACTTGTAAGGCCCATGAAGCATGATGATCCAAATTGAACTTCTCCTCCAGCAGCAGGTTCTTGAATAAAACCTGTGATTCTGCATGCATAAAAGTCCTGGTAGTAATTTACAATATTTTCCAGTTCAAATATATGGTAATAATACAATTCTTTTTTGTTTGTTTTGTTTGTTTGTTTGTTGAGACAGCGTTTCTCTGTGTAGCTTTGGAGCCTATCCTAGCACTCTCTGTAGACCAGACTGGCCTAGAAATCACAGAGATCTGCCTGCCTCTGCCTCCTAAGTGCTGGGATTAAAGCCATGCACCACCAACACCCGGTGATGACATAATTCTTTAAATGCCTACAATTTTCTTGGCTATTTCATTTATAATTTGTCATATAAAAACATTTAGAACTTAAAATTTAAGCTGAAATACTTGGACCATTATGTAATACAACTTTTGATATTGTATTTTGAATATAAAGTCAGTATTAAAAAAAGAAATAACTAAATTAGCCTCAAAATGTAAATCCTACCTTCAGAGATACTTTTCATATAAAAACAGATTCAACAGACTTCTGGAAATGTATGCAAAAATGAAAGTATTCCAAGCCATCTATTTTAAAATTACTTAAAAAAATTCATACAATTTTTACTTTCACCATTATGTAACCATTAATCCTGGAACTTTATGATTAATATCTTGTCTCAATATTCAACAATTTTTTTTGTTTTTTTTTGAGACAGGGTTTCTCTGTGTAGCTTTGGAGCCTATCCTGGCACTCGCTCTAGAGACCAGGCTGGCCTCGAACTCACGGAGATCCACCTGCCTCTGTCTCCCAAGTGCTGGGATTAAAGGCGTGTGCCACCAACGCCTGGCAATATTCAACAATTTTTGTTCTAAGAATATACTCATCAATGCCTATGGCAATTATGATTACTTGATAATCCTGGGGAATTTATGTGTTTAACTTTACGGCTTTTCAAACTAATTGATTCTTTAGGTTTGTGAGGCATTAGTTGTTATGAGCACTCTTATACCCTAGTCTTCAATTAGTGATACTTTGTAACAGAATTTAATTTTAAGCTCAGATACCTGTCTTTGAAATCATGACAAAATAATAATGCATGCTGAAAACTTTATGTGTATGAATGAGAAAAATCTCCTTGAGCTACATAGACACATTCTTATTTTATAAATAAAATTACAGGATCTACAGAATTATCTTTTCATATTATTTGTACAATATAATGTAACTCAGTAGGTGAATAACAATATTTACTGAATGAAAATATTTTAATGTAACCATAGTCACTAAAAATGACAATTTTATCAGGTATATTATATTATATATTATATTCATCTATATCTGTTTTCAGAGTGTAGAACAATAAGTTTATTGTTGTTCTAATAATGCACAATTAAGTGATTTGAAATATAAAATTGAAAATTAACATTTCTTATTCCTTCCTCAAAAAACTAATTAGTACATTTATTTTTATATTAATTTTTGTATATTATGTTCTACTTTCAAATCTCAACATGATGTTTAAACATAACAAAGACCCATTCATTTTTTCTATTTAAATTAGAATCAAGCTTGTTTTACATGTCAATTACAGTTCTGTATCCCTCTCCTCCTCCCCTGCACCCCACTAACC